TTTTTTTGAGATAAACCCATCATGTTTGGGCTCAAATAAAAGGATTTTTCGTTTCCTACAAGAAAGTCTTGATGAAATTTTTCTCTTTTATTTATTTTTTCAAAATGGCGGTCTATAGGGACACTTATTTAGGGTTAAACGACATTTTTTGAGATAACCTCATCTAACTGTGCTATTTAGTACTGTCATTAAAACTAACACAAGACCTAGAACTAGAATCATTCGGGTTTAGCCGTCTTGAGAGACGTGCGGCTAAATCCGAATGATTCTAGTTCTATGTCTTGTGTTAGTTCTACTGCTAATATAAAACTAGAACTAGTATAAAGCTATATTACTATGTTGCATATTTTTATTGCACTAAAACTAGAACTAACACTAGACCGATTACTGAAAACATTCTGGTTTAGCCTTAAGTCTCTCAAGACGAAAATATTCCTCCTTCGAATACATTTTTAACATTTTGATGAAGTTTTATTAGATAATTTGAAGTTTTCATAAAGTTTCCTAGATTTTATTATGTTCCGATGAAATTTTCGGGTTAACATTAAACTTCGTGATCAAAACTAAAATTTTATTATAATAAAGTTTTTTTAATTTGATTGAAAGTTCCTTTACTTGATACTTAAATTTTTGGTTAAAGTTTGAAATTTTAATGAAGTTACATAAAATAAATACAAAAATTTGAGAATTGATTGAAGTTTCTTACCCAAAAATAAGTTTCAAATAACTTCTTTAAATAATTATTAAACGTTTTTTGTAAAAAAAATTAGATTGTAACGAAGTTAGATGGAAGTTAGATTGAACCGGTCGACCGGTTCAAACCCTGTTCAACCGACCGGTTCAACCCCTGTTCAACTGATGTAGTTGTTGTTTCTACATCGGTTGTTGTTTCTACATCGGTTGTTGTTTCTACATCTGTTGTTGTTTCTACATCTGTTGTTGTTTCTATATCAGTTGTAAAATTTCAAATTTTTACTAAAACATTAACTTTTTTGATGAAGTTTCATAAAATAACATCGCTATCATTGAAGTTATAAAGATTACACATTTTTAATTTTCAAATTTTAAAGTTTTGGTGAAGTTTTGGGTAGTGGTGGGGATGAAAAGTACTTTTCGACCCCAATGTTAAATCTTATGGGATTTTGGTCCAGAACGCACATAGCTATACTACTGAGCACGTTGGAGATAAAAAACAAAATGTGCCCAAAACGTGATTTGGTGACGTTATACGCCGTTTTGAGCCATGTTTGAACTTTCTATCACTTTTGGTTCCGATAATTCTGTGGACCATATATGTAATATTCAGGTGGCAAATGTCATATTGGAGCAAGTTGGAGATAAAAAACAAAATGTGCCTAAAACGTGACATTATGACGTTATACGCCGTTTTGAGCCATGCTTGAACTTTCTATCACTTTTGGTTCCGATATTACTGTCGAACATATATGTAATATTCAGGTGGCAAATGTCATATTGGAGCAAGTTGGAGATAAAAAACAAAATGTGCCCAAAAGTGATTTGGTGACGTTATACGCCGTTTTGAGCCATGTTTGAACTTTCTATCTCTTTTGGTTCCGATAACTCTGTCGACCATATATGTGATATTCAGGTGACAAATGTCATGTTGGAGCATGTTGGAGAAAAAAAACAAAATGTGCCCAAAACGTGATATTATGACGTTATACGCCGTTTTGAGACATGTTTGAACTTTCTATCACTTTTGGTTCCGATAACTCTGTCGACCATATATGTGACATTCAGGTGACAAATGTCATATTGGAACATATTGGAGATAAAAAACAAAATGTGCCCAAAACGTAATATTGTGACGTTATACGCCGTTTTGAGCCATGTTTGAACTTTCTATCTCTTTTGGTTCCGATAACCCTGTCGACCATATATGTAGGACTGCTGGGGAAATAAATAAAAAAAAACACGCACTCAGTAACTATAATTATGTTATTAAAAAAGAATAAAGCAAAACAAAACCAGGTAATGTCTTTTGTAACTAAGAACTTGTTTTATGCATTTAAACAGTTATGGTCTCTGATATTAATTATATATCGATTCACGAACGTGTTTTCTGTTAAGCGCGCGCGTCTTCTTCTCTTAGCTGCGACCGACTGACTCACAGGCCTATCTCTCGTCCACTCCTTAACCGACGACAGCCGACACTTCCCGATTCTATTCCCACATATATGTGACATTCAGGTAACAAATGTCGGCGATTATCATGATAAAATTTTGTTATATATCTACAGGTTGTGCTGTACACTGACTAAAAAAATGATTTTTTGAGGTTATCTCAATAATTATGGGTTGTATAAAAAACTTTTCCGAATAACATTTGTTGAGAATTAAATTGATAATAATTTTTGTTTGAAACATTTTTCGATATTATCGCTTGGTAGCGCTGTATACTGGTATAAAAGCAAATACATAAAATATATAAAACCCAATTTATCGATTGTTTATAAGATATTGTAGAAAATTGTTTCAATTAAAATTTGCTTAGAATTCGATGACATTTGCTTAGAATCGTTTAAAATTACTTTAATAGCAACATCGTATAAAGTCGCATAAAGAAAGTTAAGAATTTTTCAAAAAATATTAATCACCCTGCATATTTGTTGACTTTATATTTCCATAGAGGATGTGTTGATTGCATCGAAAAATCTTTCAAACAAGTGTTGTTTAGAATTTAATTTTAAATCGATTTTCTTAATAAATATTTTTTATAATTCTACAAGCTGGCGCTGTACGCTGATTAAGAAAATGACATCAAACACTTTTTCGAATAACATTTGTTGAGAATTAAATTAGCAATAATTTTTGTTTGAAACGTTTTTCGAAATTATCGCTTGGTGGCTCTGTGTACTGGTATAAAAGCAAGTACATAAAATATACAGGGTGTTTCAGGTTTTTGTAGCAGGACTTTAACAGTTGATAGATCTTTTAAAATTAACACAAAAACTTCATATAAACATAGGTCGACGCTTTGTTTTGGAGATACAGGGTGTTCAAATTAAATTTTTAAATTGATATTTATTTAATATTACACGTGTATTTCAACCGATTCTATTCAAATTTGGTATACGGAGTTTTTTTGACATAAGAAAGACGATTATGAAGTCCGTTAGCCGGCAGACGCTCTGTAACGTATTCTTTACGGATTAAAATAACAATAACTTTTCTGACAGTACACTTTTTGGCTTTTTGAATAAAAATTCTTATTCTGTGTACTTTTTAAGCAAAAAGGGTACTCTTATCAAAATGCGCTAAAGTTTATCGTTTTCAAGATAATCCGCTTTTTATTATTCGATACAGACCAATGTTTTTAGAGATAGTTAAAATAATATATGCCATGGAAACAAAGCAGGTAAATTAACTAAAGTTTTAGTTTATTAATGTTTTTTAATCTAAATAATAAAAGAAAAGAATTAAAGAAATTGTTGAAAATGTAAAAAATTTACTTGCATAATTCTGACCGACGGATTACTTATCGAGTAATGGTATTTAAGAACGGCCTTATGTCATTACAAGCATTCCTAATCCTGTTAAAAGTTCATCCCTTGTGGGAACAGGTGTCTCATAATAACCAATCCTTTCAAATATCTCCACACAAAAAGTCTGAAGCATTAAGATCTGCAGATCGTGGGGCCATGCGACTGGTTCATCACGACCAATCCATCTTGCTGGAAAATGGAACAGAAGGGTTGATTGAAAGTGCAAATAGGGTCAAAACGTGCCCTATTATGAGTTAAACATATTCCCAAAATTTCATTTTCCTAGCGTTTATGGTTTTTGAGAAAAAGAAATTAAACCAAAATTTTTCGCCATTTTTGGAGGGACGTAGCTCCTTAGGGGAGCCAAAGTCGCCCATGGTTCATATATCAAAGTACCCTTAAAATTCACTAAGGAATCACCCCTTGATGTTTGTTGCAGTCATTCAGATACACCCTGTATATTAAGATAAAGCATTATTGTAAAGCATTATGTTGTTTTATACAACAGGTTGCTTTCTGAGGATGCCCTAAGGGCGAAACCGGTAAAAGCTGAAAAATAAAGGATTTTCCATTGTTAAAGTGCAATATTGTTTTTAATTTCGTTGTTATTTTAGTCGGTAAAGAATACGTTACAGAGCGCCCTCTACCGGTTACAGTTAGTGTTTTGTACCGAAATAACTTACTTGAGAATGAAGAACTTTTCGAACTGAATTATAAACACTTACTTGAATTAAACTGAACTTTATTTTACTCTTTGGAGTTAATTAATAACATTTAAGAAATAATGCTAGAGAAGAACATTATGAACGAAGTTTAACACGGCTCAGTTTTACAATACAATACAATGTTCATCTTTTTCTTTTTAACAAAACCCGAAAATTCTTGAACTTGTACACAAAAAAGAAACTCGTCTAGAGAGGGAACACAATACAAGAAAACTGAATATGAATTACAAAATATAAAGACAGAATAAACGAATCGGTTCTTTTAATAAAGATAGACTTAAAATTAACAATAGTAAAACGGACTCCATTATCGTCTTTCTCATGCCAAAAAAACCTCCGTATACCAAATTTAAATAGAATCGGTTAAAATACACGTGTAATATTAAATAAAAATCAATTTAGAAATTTAATTTAAACACCCTGTATCTTTAAAACAAAGCGTTTGTCGACCTATGTTTATATGAAGTTTTTGTGTTAATTTTAATAGATCTATCAACTGTTAAAGTCCTGCTACAAAAACCTGAAACACCCTGTATATTTTATGTACTTGCTTTTATACCAGTACACAGCGCCACCAAGCGATAATTTCGAAAAACGTTTCAAACAAAAATTATTGCTAATTTAACTTGAATATATTTTAGAACGAAAGATTGGGATGAATATGTCATGTAAACAAATTGTCAAAAATGTACTGTGCTGCGTTTTTGGCGGACACTGTACATTTATATATTCTAATTTTAACATTCTAAATTTACTTTATGCCAAAACTAACATTCTGTTGTGTATCGAAATGTTTTGGTTCAGCTTTGTGTTAATATCTTTCTTAATTACTAAAGGATATCTTTTCAGTAAGTCAATTTGAGATGAATGTGATAATAGTATATAACAGATATATGATAATTACAGGCGATTATCGTGAGCGATGTAATAATAACGACGAATGTATTGATCATCGATTAATTTGCAACAACAGCGTGTGCGATTGTGATAAATATCATAAATGGATCGAAAATGAGTGCGTTCAAGTGGTAAATACAAGTTTTATTATGGAAAATGAGATGGATTTGTTGGAAAGGAAAGATTTGGAAATTAGTTAGATATAATGAAAATACACAAAAAAAAAATTATTTTTAATTTATTTCTTTTTTAGTTATTGGAAATTATAATGAAAAACTTTTTAAAATTCAATCACTTGCTGGACTATTTGTAGCTGGTGTGTGTTTCTTAGCTGTGATATTAGTTATGATTTATTGCTGTTATGTTCGAAATCAGTAAGTTTTAACAAAAGCTCTTTAATTTGTTTATTAATGAAAGTCGTATTTTTAGAGATAACAAATTAAAGAGGGCGTTGAAGATTGCAAAATGTAAACACAACAAAAAAGAAGAAATTGTTTAAAGGAAGGAAATGATAAAAAAGGTTATTTATAAATTTAGGCAATAAAAATATCTTATTAATTTAATAAAAAAATCATTTCTTGATTCCTGAAAATAAAGTCAGTATGATTTTTTAAAGTTTAACAAAGATTATCGATTTCTGCTGCAATTAAAATTGAGGTTTTTGATTTTACAAAAAAACTGTCTCATAAAACGTATTACTTCTTATGCATAGAAACAAAGACCAAAATTTAAGCTTTAATTTAATAAAAAAATCATTCCTTAGATCCTAAAAATAACGGTATGATTTTTTAAATTTTAACAAAGATTTTCGATTACTACTACAATTAAACATTGTCATTTTTCTATTTTACAAAAAAACTTTATCATCAAACGTATTACTTATTATGCATAGAAACAAAGACCAAAGTTTAAGCTTTAATTTAATAAAAACATCATTTCTTAGTTCCATAAATAAAGTCGGCATGATTTTTTAAAGTTTGATGAATTTGTTGCTTTTTCAAGTTATTAATCATTCGGGAATCGGAGCTTTTCACAAAAAAACTTTTTCAACGAAAGTTGTAACAAATTTTATTCTTAACAATATTGTTCTCTTGCACTTTTGCTCTTACAATTAGATGCGTCAATATCGAGATAGTTACGAAAATATGAAAATTTTATGAAGTTGTTAGTTTTTCAAGTTATTAAAGGTAACACTTGGGAATTGGAGCATGCTATAAGAAAACTTTTATAACAAGAATTGTTGCAAATTTTATTGTTAACAATATTGCTCTCTTGCACTTTTGCTCTCTGATACGTCAATGTCGACATAGATACGAAAATATGAACACTTTATGAATTTGTTGTTCTTTCAAGTTATTAAAGGTAACACTTGGAAATCGGAGCTTGCTATAAGAAAACTTTTATAACAAGCATTGTTGCAAATGTTATTATTACCAATATTGCTCTCTTACACTTTTGTCTTAGAAGCGTCAATATCGAGATAGATACGAAAATATTAAAATGTTATGAATTTGTTGCTCTTCCACGTTATTAAAGGTAACACTTCGGAATCGGAGCATGCTATAGGAAATCTTTTTTGTAACAGGTATTGTTGCAAATTTTATTGTTAACAATATTGCTGTCTTGCATTTTTGCTCTTAAATGCGTCAATATCGAGATAGATACGAAAATATGAAAATTTTATGAATTGTTGCTCTTTCAAGTTATTAAAGGTAACACTTCGGAATCGGAGGAAATCTTTTATAACAAGCATTGTTGCAAATCAAAAAGAAGATAAGGTATGACACTTTCAATTTTACAAAAAAACATTATCATCAAACGTATTACTTATTATACATAGAAATATAGACCAAAGTTTTAGCTTTAATTTAATAAAAGAATCATTTCTTAGTTATTAAAAATAAAGAGGGTATGATTTTTTAAAGTTTAATAAAAATTGTCGATTTCTACTATGTATATTTAAACATTGCCATTTTTCGATTTTACAAAAAACTTTATCATTAAACTTATTACTTATTATGCATAGAAACAAAGATCACAGTTTAAGCTTTAATTTAACAAAATAATCATTTGTTAGTTCCTAAAAATATAGTCGGTATGGTTTTTTAAAGTTTAACAAAGGTTATCGATTTCTTCTACAAATAAGCATTGATATTTTTCGATTTTACAAAAAAAACTTTATCATCAAACGTATTACTTATTATGCATAGAAATATAGACCAAAGTTTTAGCTTTAATTTAATAAAAAAAAACATTTCTTGGCTCCTAAAAATAAAGTCGGTATGATTTTTTAAAATTTAACAAAGTTTATCGATTTTCGCTACAATTAAACATTAACATTTTTCGATTTTACAAATAAACTTTATCATCAAACGTATTACTTATTATGCATAGAAATAAAGAACAAAGTTTAAGCTTTAATTTAATAAAATAATCATTTCTTAGTTCCTAAAAATAAAGTCGGTATGATTTTTTAAAGTTTAACAAAGATTATCGATTTCTTCTACAGATAAGCATTGATATTTTTCAATTTTACAAAAAAACTTTGTCATCAAACTTATTACTTATTATGCATAGAAACAAAGATCAAAGTTTAATTTAATAAACAAATCATTTCTTGGTTCCTAAAAATAAAGTCGGTATGATTTTTTAAAGTTTAGGAAAGATTATCGATTTATGCTACAATTAAACATTAACATTTTTCGATTTTACAAATAAACTTTATCATCAAACGTATTACTTATTATGCATAGAAATAAAGACCAAAGTTTAAGCTTTAATTTAATAAAAAAACATTTCTTGGTTCCTAAAAATAAAGTCGGTATGATTTTGTAAAGTTTAACAAATAAGATTTCTTCTACAAATAAGCATTGACATTTTTCGATTTTACAAAAAAACTTTATCATCAAACTTATTACTTATTATGCATAGAAACAAAGATCAAAGTTTAAGCTTTAATTTAATAAACAAATCATTTCTTCGTTTCTAAAAATAAAGTCGGTATGATTTTTTAAAGATTAACAAAGATTATCGATTTCTGCCACAATTAAACATTAACATTTTTCGATTTTATTAATCAACTTTATCATCAAACGTATTACTTATTATGCATAGAAATAAAGACCAAAGTTTAAGCTTTAATTTAACAAAATAATCATTTGTTAGTTCCTAAAAATATAGTCGGTATGATTTTTTAAAGTTTAAGAATGATTATCAATTTCTACTACAAATAAACATTGACATTTTTCGATTTCACAAAAAACCTTTATCATCAAACTTATTACTTGTTATGCGTAGAAATAAAGATTAACGTTTTAGCTTTAATTTAATAAAAACATCATTTCCTAATTCCTAAAAATAATGTCGGTATGATTTTCTAAAGTTTAACAAGATTATCGATTTCTGCTACAATTAAACATTGACGTTTTTCGATTTTACAAAAAAACTTTATCATCAAACTTATTACTTATTATGCATAGAAACAAAGATCAAACTTTAACGGGGCTGCTATGATTTTTGGAAAGTTTCGTATTATTTTTGATTTATAAACCTAACTGTTTCTTATTTAATAATTTTTTCATGAAAATTTCAATAACATTATCTTATACTTTTTATATCATATCATATACTAGAATCTTTAAGCTTCAATTTAACATATATATCATATCATGATACTTCAAAATACAGTCGATATGATTTTTAAAAAGATTAGTTAAAAAGAAAACCAGGCAGCGTAAAATTCGAACTTTTTTATTATTTTTAAACAATTTAAATATTATTTAGAACCAATAGTTAAGAAATACATAACACCATTTTAACGCCATGTATAACCAATATAATTTAAGTAAGAGATTCAGAAAGTAAAATCTGGAAAAAGTAAGTTCATTAAAAAATAAAAAAAAAAATTTTTTAAATTACATTTTGTTCCGTGAGCGGTACAGCTCAATGTTCTTCGAATCCTCGTTTACCAAATATTTCTTACTCTTCTGCATTGTAACTGTTAACAGCGTATTCCTTTAACTCAAAATCTTTAGTTATTACACCGTAAAATATTTCCTTATCAGCTTTATCTAGTTTTTCTTCTACTTTAATGCAATTGCTATTATCAAATGTCCATTTTCTCACTGTAAAGTGCCTCAAAGTTTGAAACGATAAAATTAGACGTTTTTGAATGGAAACCAAGCTAAATTAGAACAGGTTGTTAATCATTTAAGAATAATCACATCATATTTAATACATACAAAGGTTTCTGTAGGAACATGATTAATAGGAAGTCGACCAACAACGCCGGAATTAGTTGAAAGAAAAAAGAAGCAATCATGAATACAAAATAAGATTTTGTAAAGTATACTTCGGGATACCAAAGACTATGTTTTAATGGTTCTTTATACGTAACTTCCATAAATGAATCCACTATATAACGCCAAGTATAAGGAAATCTGTTAGTTATGTTTATTGTAGGCGTTGTTAAATAACTGAAACACGTGAAAGAAATTTTAAATTTATCAAATAATTACAGAAATATTTACTTGGTCTTTGCTCTCTGGTATCCACAACATATTACGCTATTTATAGCGAAATCCACCGGAATCATTTCCGGTATAGCTTCGCCATCCACTAAACATGATTTCAAAATTCCCATTCCACCCGCTATAAATATTCCCATGGGACCATAAAAATTATCCACCCAACCAGGCGTTGGTTCAGACAAAGAAGGGACAACTAGAAATAAACGATGTATTTTTTTCTTCTCTAATAATATCAAACGTACCAATAGATGGTCTCGTTATTATTAATGGTACTTTATCACCCATATCAACGGCGATCATTTCAGCAAGTCGTTTAGTGAACGTATAAGTATTTGGATGAGGACCTAATAACCTTTTAGTAATACCATTTAAGCACTTTTCATCCATCCACTCCACCATATCGATAATCTTGTATGGATCAACGTCAATGGGGTACACTTTCTCCTCCATATTCTCAATTTCAACGTTGCAATAAGCCGTGGATAAATGAACAACCGACTACAGGAAGATTTTTTTTTAATAATTTAACATAAAAAACATTTTAAACATACTTGCAAATTTTTCAAGTTCATACAAAATTTAAACAACTCATAAGTTGATTTAGTATTTGTAATAACAGCTTCTTTTAATGAAAGGTTCATTCGAACGGAAGCGGCAAAGTGAAACACAACGGATACTTCATCAATTAATTTTTCCCTATCATTTATGGACATATCAAAACCTTCTTTGGTTATATCGCCGCAAATCGCTTCAATTTTTGCGTTGGCTTTTGCATTTAAATTATTAAAGGTAAATATCTTTTTTGAGAAAAATTGATTTATTTGGTGAAAATATGAAATTCTTTTTTAAAATACTTACGGGGCTGTCAGCTAATTGTTTAACTCTTAGTTCGGGGTTGTATCCTTTTTTTGGTCGCAATAAAATGTAGATTTTCTTAATATCGGGTACACTTCTGATTAACTTTTCTAAAAGAACTTTTCCCATAAAACCCGTTGCTCCCGTTACAAACACGGTTTTTCCAGTGTAAAATTCAATAATTGGACTTCTCATTTTTATATTTTACGGTATTCAGTTAGAAAGTAAATTTCTTAATAAAAATTTCCCAGGAAATAGCTCGCATTTATATCTAACCGTTTTAAATAAATCGATTTAAATCATGCAGAATTATTATAATTTATGGTATTTGTGACTTAGCATTAAATAATAAGAGAATTGAATATTAACCATCGATTCAAAAAAAAAAGGAAATTTTAATTCATTAGAGGAAACGTACACAGGATGTTAAAAAAATTATATATACATACAGGATTTCCCAAAAGTAACGAATAAATTCGTTAAAACAATTAAAAACAGTTTATGGAAAAATCGCTTAAACGGGTTTGTCTAAATGTTCTGTTAGGTTTTTTTATATTCAAGACGCACACACTGTTACATTCCGAAATGTTTATGTTATGTGTGGGTGACTTGTTTATGTGTAATGGGTTATGAGTTGCATACATTCGGAAACTTATTATTATTTTTATTTACTTTGTTTTCATTTTGTTTGTTTATAACATTTTATTGTTTTCTCTTTCAGCAACATATTCTGAGTATTCCTTTTTTTTCCTTTTAACTCCTATCACTTTAAAATTCTCCTTTTTGCTTTTGAGAGGGTGTCGTAAATTCATGATGTTATCTTGCGCAGTCGTAATTTTTTTTTGATATTTTCGATCTTTGGGTATAAAAGACCGTTCAAGTTTCTTCTTGAGCCCTCTCTTTCTTACTATATTACCAGAGCAATACGTGTTCTCGAGTGTTAAAGAAATTTTGGTTGGTTCGCCATTTTTGGTTTTGGTGTAAAATTTTGTTTCTAATCCATATTTGTGGGATTCATCACTCGAAATAAACAATCTACTAAATCTATTTTTCAAAAAAAAATCTAACTACTTTAAAAAAAAAATTTCTAACTACTTTAAAAAAAAAATTACTAATTACTTAAAAAGAAAAACTATCCTACAAACAAAAATTCTTAAATCTAATATTTCCACGTTTCATTTTTTTTAATTTCTATATCCAGGTTTTTGTTGAGGGGAGCAACTTTTGGCATCTCTTATTGGAACAACTTTTTTGTTGGTATTTTAGGAACCATTGTCCAAGGGTATAATTTCCATTACATCCTAAGGATTTTAATTATTTTTTTGGAACAAAACAAAGAATATCACCTTACCTTTCCTGAGTCACCAGAATTTGTTGCTGAGGATTTATTTCGAATCGGACCGGTGATCAAGACTTGGAGTAAAGGTCAGATAGAACAACATATTATTATTTTGGTCATTGAAGAATTCGTATCTTATATATTTTTTTTTATTTTGATTTTCCTTAAGAAAATCTCTAAATTAATTAATCATTGGAACATCAAACTTTTCAATTTTTTTTTAATATCATTTCAATTTTTTTTTGTAAATTCTTGTTTGGCGAGATTTTTTTTTAATTCTATTTTTGGCGTTGATTTTTTTTTATAATTTTGATTTCACGTTTAGCTCAACCATACGGAGTCAGACGCGGGTTACTTTTTTATTTTTTTGGTATTTTGATTTAAATTTCCTTTCAGTTTTGACTTTCATTTTTTTTAAAGCTCGCAAACATCAATATACCGGGTGTCCCTCAAAAGTGGCGCACCCCCATATTTTTCTTTATTATTGGTGATATAAGAAAACCATTTGGAATGCATAGTTAGGTCTCTAAAACGGATTATTACGACATGAAATCATTCTTTTTGTACTTCCGGTTATACCGGATGTGAGTACTAATTTCGCTATTTTTTTAAATCTATAATTTTTTTTTCTTCAGTTGGGTAGACAGTATAATTTCACATAACTTTTACTTGAAAAAATTTTCACGATCGCTTATAATTTTTGAAAAAAAAAAATTATTTTCGTTATTTTTTAACGTTTTAGTACCTTCGGAAAATGTATTACAACTTTTGACGCATGGTAGCTAGGTTAATAGTATAAAGTACGTTATGTCCCTCTTGATTTGCTATTTCTCGAGCAGTGATCACTGCTATGCTTTAGTCAGTGGTTCTTTTTTAATAATGGTGTAAATTAACAGTTGTATTAAATTAGTTTTAAAAGAAAAACGCGATCAAACAATCAAGTTTAATTCAATTATTTTTGATTTTTTACTTTTTTCTTTATTTTTTGTTCTTTTACACTAAATGTTCTGTAGCTGATAGTAACTTACAATGTCCATTGTACATTATAATTTGGATTGTTTACTTTATTTTGGTTAAAACCTCTCAGATCACCTGACCTCACCTTTAAATTCTTTTTATGGGGCAAAATCAAAAATGAGCTGTATAATACACCAGTAAAGTCTCGTGAGGTATTAGAAAATAAATCGAGTTAGAAATTGTATTACCTAAATATCTCCGCAAGAATAACGTCGAGTCGTTAGATCGACAATACGCAAGATACAATTATGTCAAAATCGAGGCGGGAGCATTTTGAAAATTTAGAAAATTAGTTTTTTTGAACTTACAATTGAATTAAATTTAATTGTTGGATAGCGTTTTTCTTTTAAAACTAATTTAATACAACTCTTAATTTACACCATTATTAAAAAAGATTCACTAACTAAAGCATAGCAGTGATCACTGCTCGAGGAATAGCAAATCAAGAGGGACATAACGTAGTTTGTACTATTAACCTAGCTACCATGCGTCAAAAGTTGTAATACATTTTCCGAAGGTACTAAAACGTTAAAAAATAACGAAAATAATTTTTTTTTTCAAAAATTATAAGCGATCGTGAAAATTTTTTCAAGTAAAAGTTATGTGAAATTATACGTCTACCCAACTGAAGAAAAAAAAATTATAGATTTAAAAAAGTAGCGAAATTAGTACTCACATCCGGTATAACCGGAAGTTCAAAAAGAATGATTTCATGTCGTAATAATCCGTTTTAGCGACCTAACTATGCATTCCAAATGGTTTTCTTATATCACCAATAATAAAGAAAAATATGGGGGTGAGCCACTTTTGAGGGACACCCGGTAGTTTTTTTGTTGTTTGAACCTAAAAGTTTACGGTTTTATAATTTTGTTATTAGTTTTCTTTTACTTACCTGTTATTTACGGGAGTTTTTAATAAATTTTGTCTGCAACTCAAAACCTATTTTGTTGAGCGTTTATGTTTTGTTGCGTGATTTGTTTATATCACCATACTCCATCATCTCACGTCACAGTTCGTGTTGTACGCCGGGTCACAGAATAACCAGAAAGGACAAAACCGGCGGTGCCTTTGAAGTTTCACCAGCTATTTTATTTGACCTTCGGCCATATTGTTGGCGTTTAGGCGCCAATTTGAAAAGTAAAGTACTCTGTTTTAGGAGAGTGTCCACTAAAATGATTTTGAAATTTAATTTTACTAAATTTGTATTGAAGATATAATTACGGTTATTTTTATGAAAATTTAATACAATATATAAAATTCATTTAATACAGTATATCGTTAATTAAAAAAAATATGTAGATCATTTAAAAATATTTATTTTATAAATTATTAACAATTTTAAATTTTGCACTTGGTCCATTTACAGGTGTTTTTTTCATATTCCGATTGTGATACTTTAAGGTATAAAATAATCTTAATCTAATAAACAAGCTTAATAAAAACTTTGTAGGAAAATTTGAACAATCAAAATGGTGCTCTATTGTTTTTAAATTTTGTAAAAATTGACTACCCACTCCTCTTTTGTGTAGTATAGTCGGATAGACGTCGTAAAATACCTGTTCTAATTTAAAAATATAATTTAAAAATAAATTATTTGGTACAATCAGATTGCCATAAATACTTTCAGAAGAAAAACTCTTAAAATGTGTAAATAATTTGTCAACACCTAAATTTTCTTCTTTGAACATAGCGGCACATGTTTCGCAGCTATGCACTGCCAATATCTTTTTGGCAAGGTAGCCACAAACATAAGTAAAGCCATTTTGGGCCGGTAATTCTTGGGTTCGGTAATCTGGGTCAACCGACACCAAATTACCATCTATATTTGGTGTCTCCAGAATTGATGCTGGTTCCTGAGCTATTTCGCGCATATTAATTTCTTTTATCTTTATTAAGAATGTAGCGAAATCATTACTACAATTTTCATTTCCAGTGTGGAAATAACGTTGGCAAAACAATTTTCGAAAACTTCTTTCAAATTGAATGGGCGTGGGGTTCACAGAATTTCCTCCCTGGGACCGTATTTGCCCAAAGAAATTTTCCAGGCAGTCCTGGTTAATAAATCTGGTCGTCATGAAGTCATGATTATTTTCTTTTAATATAGTCCATAATTTTTGGATACCTTTGATGGTTACTGCCCAAGCCTTTAAACATTTTATTGATTTTGTTACATCATGTCCTTTTCCATTAATAAAAATAAAAGGAATTGTGTCTCCATTTAACAAAACCCATGGGGTCTCTGGTGTTATTTTTAAAATATTGTGTAGTTGCATAAAATTACTTCCCATATCTGTTATCACACATCGTACTCGGAGTCCAATATTTTTTAATTTTTGAATACATTGCTCAATCTTTTCTTTTAATGTGGGTGCTGTACATGTTTTAATAAAAAAATAACCAAGAGGTAATTTCCAATTATTTTTAAGCCCTCTAATCATAAAAACATTTGCATTTCGTGCTGAAATGTACTCTCTTTTATCGTCTCCTATATCTGCGAGACCAACAACTTCGTCTCTTCCAATGTGATAAAACAGATTCTCTTTTAGGGCCATTTCATCGATACAGAGGATGCAATCCTTGTCTAAATATCCCATAGAAGAAACTTTAATTTCCAATGCCTTATACAGTTGTATGTTGTTGAGGCCAGGGACAAATTTTAAATTTTCAGTAAACCTTCTTAAGGTCCTTGTTGAAGGCAAATAAAATAAAGTCTGTAAAAATTTATAAGACCGTGGCCCCAAAAAATATAATTGCATACTGAACTCTTTGTATGCAGTAGTATATCTTCTTTTTGATGATGTTATGTTGCACAACCTCGCCTGAATTTTTATAAAACTTGCCAAATTGTTGGGAAAAAAACGATCACAATAATTGTCGATTGTTAATTGGTTATTCTGTGCCCACGCACAAAATAAAAAGTTATTTTCACTAAACTTGTTGAGATTACAACATAATTATTCATAATAACACCTATGTGAAGTTAGCCCCCAATTAAATAGCATTTTACATGTATAGTATTTTGATTATAACATGAAAACCAGTGAACCTATTGATTTAGGCGACTTTTCAGACGAATTTAGATTCTAGAAACATGCGAGATCGATAGATTGTATCGATTTAACCCATAGGCCGCAATTTCATCCATTTCGGTATCATTTTTTATATTTAAATTCCAATTTTTCAATTCCAAACTTCAACATCAAATTACGACTTTCTCGAAGGAAATTGACACCTGTTGACACCCGAAAGTGCGTTTATCTAAAAAAACAAAAATTAGCAACAAAATTACAAAACCTTAATCAAATTTAAAATTTATTAATAATTTCGAATATTTTCAAAATTGATAGTTATTTTCTTTAAAAAAATCAGTTATTTTGGCCAACCTGTGTAATTTATAATACCCGCCACTTAGGCTCGTTACTACCATCTTCTGGTTAAGCTATCTAAGGGATTATTACCACGGTTACGGCTATTTTATGCGCTCTGATTGGCTAGTAGATGGGTTTATCTATAAGATAAATTTTACTAAAAGATGGTAGTAATGGACCTTAATCAACCAATCAGAGAGCCCAGATTCAAACTGACAACGATCAAATTTGGATATCCAAGATGCCTTTGTCCAAAACGGGTATATAAGGCCGCGCAAATTGACACAGAAGAGAGTTCAAATTTGGCTAGAGGCAAGCGTTGTCGAATCTACGTAAAATTAAGCTTAAATTTTCTAACCTAAGTCTGAATTTAGAATTTTTTTTTTGACAGCTCAATTTTCTTTATCAAGTAAAAGTAAACAAGCGTTTGTGAATTATCTTCAAGGAAATCTAAACCATACCTTAGTTCGATATGTACCCTATTTTCCATTCTGTTCTCGAAGGACCCGAGAACTAAATTTCCCGAGCTTCCCAAACTTCTATTACCGAAGAATACCCATCCCAGGGTCATCCAAGGTCAGCCAGCCATTATTAACTGACATGTCACACCTCCGGAAAGAAACAAGATAAGTGAACATATTTCCTTTTATCGGTAATCCAACGTTACCACGGTGTGTTAACTCAATACGTACAAAAAAAAGACAGATATTTAATGGGTACCACGGACGGCTAGATGGCACTGTAAGCACAAATTGCTTAAAGTCCCTAGATTTACAAAGTACCGCGGTTTGCCGCCATTTTGAAAGTCAAGCGGGAACTTTAAAACTATGTCGTTCTATTGATGACATTACGCCATGTAATTGATGACATTACGCCAAAATTCCTTTCATTTTTTCTCGTGGTACTCTGAAGAGTCGAAAGTGCAGGCGTTTTGTTGCAGACAAAACGAAGTGAAAACAAAATTCAAATTTTCACCAGTCAACATGAAAATGATACCTTTACTGTTATCATTTTCATGTTGACTGGTGGAAGTTGAAATCAATAATTAATAACCATTAACTGAATAAAAATACTTTTAAATTTCGCGCTTTATTAAAAGTAGTAGGTACCACAGACCACTAGAGGCGTTGAAATCAATTTGACCGAAAAAATAGTGGGGAGTAATGCTTCTATATATATATATTTATATTATTTTTCTATGAACGTTACTTACTTGAACTTAATCGTATACCTGTTCCTCGTTTAAACCATTCCGTTTCTTCAGAACCCTTTAATTTTTATAACCATCGCGATTAAAAATCAAACTTAAAAGACACTCATAAAATTAACGCGTATAAGCTTTGTCTGCGACAACACTCTTCTCAACGAGGTACCTCTTTCTTGCACAGACGTATTTATATAGGCTAGTTTTTATGTTTAGTTCGAAAATTTAAAAATTTAGTTAATAGATGTCTCCATGAACTTGCGATTTATTTTTATTCCCTGAGATTCATCTTCTTTTTGATATACAAATGTATTTTTGTTCGTTGCGAATCAAATAAAATATTTTTGTGTAAATTATCGTTTTGTATAATTAATTTGTATAAATTGGTTTGCTTGTTGGTTTGCATAAAAAAATTAATAATCGAACTGTTGTATATGTAAACAACTTGATTATAGAAACTTTTTATTACAATAATTGAGTATAATAACAAGCACTCTAAAGGTTATTTGTAAGCGATGGTGTATAAGGTCAACGTGGTTTTTCTGAACTCGCCGAACTGTTATTAATTATCTTCCCCGCGTATGGTAAAAGTTGGTCTCGATGTCTTCTTTGGATTTTACCTTGAATTTCAATATCATAATGTTGAGTCCCGCTTCTACCAACTATGGTTCCAAAGTTCCATTTATCAGTTGGGTTTGTATAATTTCTAGCTTGTACTTTAGTTCCAATTTCTAAGATATCCTTTCGGTCTCCAGTCGGCATCAAATTCCTCTCATTTATTTCGGTTCCAACATCTCTTCGTATTAAGTCTATTCTAGTTCTTATTTTTCTGTTTAACAACATTTCTGCCGGGCTAATCCCAGTTGTTGCATTCGGCATTTTTCTATATTGCATCAGAAATCTACAGAGGTTCAATAACAAATCACCCTCGCCAATCTGTGCTCGCAAACTGTTCTTAACTGTTTGAACATATCGTTCTGCCTGTCCATTAGTTGCTGGATGGTAAGGAGCAGTTAATTTATGATTTATTCCATTAGATTTTAGGAAATTCTTGAATTCGTGTGATGTGAAATTAGTACCATTATCTGATACAATTGTATACGGTAATCCAAATCTTGAGAATATTTCTCTAAGAATTATGGTAATTATTATGGCTATTAATGGTAATTGACGATGTTATTGACTTAGTAGGTATTACTTCTAGCCATTTCGAGTAAGAATCGACTAAGATGAATAAATAAATACCATGAAATGGTCCAGCGTAGTCTATGTGCAAACGCTGCCATGGTTTCGTTGCATAATCCCAAGGATGAACAATACCTTTAGTAGGATTATTTCTATTCCGAGAACAACTAATGCATTGTTTAGTTAAATTTTCTATATCAGCATCAATACCTGGCCACCATACGTAACTTCGTGCTAGAGAATTACTGATGTAATTCTTCTAGAATTTGTTCTCGCAATTCCTCTGGTATCGTTACTCGAATTCCTCGTAATAGACATCCGTCTTGAATGGTGAATTCTTCTCGAGGAAATCCTTTTGGCATTTCACCGTCCGTCTCTATTGCAATATAAATCTTCTTCAGCAATGGATCTCGAAGTGTTCTTCTTCGTATTTCATTTTTCGTTATAGGTAATTGTTCGATTTGGTTGATTTGGAATAATTCATGTGAATCATGATTTAAAAATGATGACTTAGAGACTGGCATTCTGGATAAGTAATCCACGTTAGCATGAGCCTTGGTGTTGCAGTATTTTATTTCATAATTAAAACCTGAAATATAGTTAGCATAATGGATTAAACGAATAGCTGAAGTAGCAGATAAATCTTTTTGTGGATGAAAAATTCGCACTAGTGGTTGATTGTCTGTTATCAACGTAAATCCTCGTCCATAACAATAATGAAAGAATTTACGCATTCCCCAAACTATCGCAGTGGCTTCCCTGTCTAGTTGGCTGTAGTTTTGTTCTGCTTTCTTTAAGGATCTTGAAGCGTAGGCTATTGGTCGTTCACTTCCATCCGACATCGTATGGGAAATAACAGCACCAAGTCCTGTGGGTGAAGCGTCTGTAGCCAATGTTAACGGTAATTCAGGATCGAATGGCGTTAGAACTTCTGTACTTGTAAGGGTTTTCTTGAGGTCAACAAATACATTTTCGCATTGTTTACTCCATATGAATTTAACATTCGTTTTTAATAATTGGTATAAAGGATACAATTTAGATGCTAAGTTAGGTACAAGTGACTGGTAATAGTGAACTAATCCCAGAAAACTTCTCAATTGTGAAACGTTTGTTGGTCTTTCACTTTTTAAAATTGCTGCAACTTTCTCAGGTGCGGTGTGTAAACTCTTTGCATCAATTATGTGTCCCAAATAAGAAATCTGTTTTCTAAAAAACTGACACTTTTTCTTGTTTAAGTGTAAATTGTTCTGAGTTAGTCTCTGCATAACTGCGCGTAGACGATGATACAATTCTTCCATAGTTGCATCCTGAACTGCGATATCGTCGAAAAAACAAACGACACCGTCCAAATAATAATAATAATAATAATATGACTTTATTGTATCCCATATAAAACAAATAGAAAAAAATATATATATATACATATATATATATATATACATATGTATACATACATATGTATACATACAGAACAAAATGTATAACTAAATGAATATGTACATAAATGTATGCATAATCTTGAAATTATAATAACTTAAACAATAAATGAAAACAACGATACCCCAATGTGTTATCGTAAATTAAAATTTAAAAACATATACATATATATACCCATATCGAGATACAAACGGCGGGATCCAGAAAAATCTGCTCTATCCAACCGAATAAACAGAAAAGAAAAACAAAAGAAAAGAAAGAAAAGAAAAAGAAAGAAAAAAGAAAAACAACCTGATAAGGTTGCCCTTGTAAAGCCTGCAATAGAAAATAATAAAAAAACAAACTCAATTCAGATGAGAATCAACTGACATCCGCTGACTGCTGACAAAACATTAGTCTCCTTAGTTCTGTGCGAAATCGAGATAAAGACAACTGTCGCAACACAATTGGTAAAGATCCGTATGATTTGTAAATGTGATACGTAAACGATCGCTGGAACATTGAAGTTCTAAATCTCGGCGGATAGAAACTCATTCCCGACCTGGTTTGACGAAGCTGTGGTTTAAATATAATTTTATTATATAGATATTCCGGAATTCCAGAGACCACAATTCTGTGGAATAGAACCAAACTGTAAAATTCCCTCCTGTTGCACATACTCAACCAACCAGCCTCTTTAAGTTTATAAGAAATTCTCTCAAATTTTCGAATTCCATAGATGAATCTAAGACAACTGTTTTGTACTCTCTGTATTCTTCGCGAAGTGACCACATCAATAGCGCCATGATATATAGCAGACATAAAGTTAAAATGTGAGAGCACAAATGCGTCACACAAACTTATTTTCACTTTTATGGGCAAGTATGACCGATGCGGATAGAGAATTCGCAAATTGCAGTAAGATCTTTTAATATACATGGCAATTTGTTGCTTAAATCTAAAATTATTGTCCAAAATCAAACCAAGACACTTAACCTCTGAAACTCTTTTAATTAACGTATCATTCAACTTAATAGCCAAGTCAGGAGCAGCAACACGCTTTTGACTACTAAAGCACATCCACATAGATTTTTCAGGGTTTATTTTTAAGTGATGGTAAGAAGCAAGAGTAAATATTTTTTCAAGATCTTTGTTTGTATTATATTCAACAACACCACTATCCGCATCCACATAAGAAGCGTACAGTTGTGTATCATCTGCATAGGAGTTAATCTTACAAAACTGAATAAATTTGCTGAACTGCGAAGTATATAAAGAAAACAAGATAGGGCCCAACACAGAACCTTGCGGAACACCGCTTGTTACTGCCAAATCACTAGAAACAGAATTGTCAATCCTGACCCGCTGTGTGCGATCACTAAGATAATCACGTAAAATAGATACTGTGTATTCAGTAAATCCCAAATATCGTAACAATTTACAAATAACAGTGTGGTTAACAGTATCAAATGCCTTAGAGTAATCCAAGAAAACTACGGCGGTATTCATTTCTCTGTCAAGAGCAGTCAACAAATCATCTGTTAAATTCAACATTGATGTAGTGCAGCTATACCCACGCCTAAAGCCCGATTGCTGCGATGGGAGTAAACCCTTCAGTTCTTAGGCAGCGGAACAACCACAGCATGCTTCCATTCCATGGGAAATACATGTTCAGTTAAGCAACAGTTTAGTATATGAGTTAAATATGGCAAAATAGTTGGACAAGACATTTTGATCATGTCAATGGAGACACCATCCGCTCCAACTGCAGATGAGGCAATAGAATTAATCATCTCCAACACCAAAGAGACCTCCACTGGTTTAAAAGAAAAGTCATTTTTAAAACTAGAACTATCATAGAGATCTAAACCAGACCCTTGGAAGTCTTTAACAATTTCTTTGACACTATCCACAAAATATTCATTAATCTTATCAGGAAACCTTAAATTTGACGGCAAGGTATCATCTTTATGTGATCTAATATTCAATGACTTCAATTTGCACCAAATTTGCCCTCCATGACCAGGGACAGCAATGGAACCGAAAAATGCTCTCTTCTCATTTCTTACAGCTGTAGTAGTTAAATTCCTAAGAGATTTGTAGTATTCCCAATGAGCTACTTCACCCGAATGCCTAAATCTAGTTTTAGCCTCATCACGAAGTGTAATCATTAACTTAATATTATCGGTCATCCAGGGAGCAGGAGGCTTAGTAAATCGATACCTTTTTATAGGAGCATGGTCATCAAAGAGGTTAATGTATTAATCCTTATGTCACAAATTTTGCATCAATTTGTTCATGAATCGTTGCCATGCAGATGGAGCAGTTTTAACTCCGAACATTAGTCTCTTCACCTTGTAGACCCCTTTGTGCGTAGAAATCGCTGGATCATGGAGCTTTCTTCGTCCATCTTCATACAGTGCTAGCGTAAAGTACCCCCCCCCCCTTTTTAACTTCCGAACAGATTGAGATATCAATATGAGCAAAAAAACGTCAGGTTCTATATTTTATCAGCACAAATATTTTCTTNG